TTCAATCTGGTGTTCAGAGACGTCTCTGCCCAGCTCTCCCTGCAGGATCACTTACCACAGGGTAACTTAAAAGAAGCTCCTCCTTGGCCCTTCTCCCCTTCAACGTGACTCCCCCCTACAGCTTGTTATTCCAGATTTCCCAGTGCCTTTAGATGCTGGAATGTATTTTCTGGAAGTTTTCTCTGCCTTTGACTGAAAACATGTAATTCGTGTTCTGTTTAATTAAGCAAGAGCAGAGCAAGGAATGGAGCCCGAGGAAACAATGGCAGCTGCAGTTGAGGTGCCTGGAAGAGGCTTTTATTGCCTGCAGAGGAGAACCTCAAAAACACAACTTTGGGATGTGTTATGATGTTGTTGTTTAGCGGGACTGCTGCAAGAACGGAGTGAGATGGTTTCTGGTTGGTTTGGTGTGTCGAGGATGTGAGCACAGTGGATTGTAGGAGGCAGGGGCTGTGAGGGGAGGGAGAGGGGCTCTCAGGTGGCTGAAAGTGCCAGGAAGACTCTCATGAGCTGCCTTGGCTAAAGATGGGGTTTCCCAACTGTTGTAATGCCCACTAGAGCTGCCCTCTGGCCTGGGGGTGTGGGCTCTGAGTGTTCTGTTCACACCTCAGAGCCACGGGCTGGCTGTGGAGCTGTGTGCCCTGGGCAGTGAGAATGCAGTCTATAGCTTTGGATCACCTGTTAAACAACTCCACGGGCCTTTTGTCTCTACAGTATAAAGTGACCTGCCTGATTTCTGTGGGCTTGGACAGGTTCTGAGGGAGATGAGGTTAGTGTAGTAATGTTATTTATTGACTAACAGGTACTGAAGTCCATGATGGGGTGGCGAGCAAAGCAGGGCTGGACTTTGACATTTATTGGATCAGTCACGTTTCTGCTTGGCAAAATGAGAATGGGCTGAGTGGTTCCCAGACCCCTTCCTGCTCATGAAAAAGGAGATTTGTTAATTTAAGAAATTAGTTTGGACGTTTGGCAAAAAAAAAAAAAAACAAAACCAACAACCATTAAAAAAAAGCAGCCTCCTCTTGGGGTTGCCAAGTGTGAGCGTGTTTTTCTTGTCTGCAGTGTTGGGGTCTGGCCCTACCAGGCATCCTCGGAAAGCTGATTTTTCCACTGACTTGGGAAAGGGGACACAGGTTGCCACCTCCTTTCTAAGTCCCCCAGCACAAGTTATCCCTTAATATCAGTGCAGCAATAAGCTGTTGTATGGAACTAGAGCAGTTTGGTTAAAGCTCCTAGGCATTATTCTTAAAAGAGGTTCCTGCTCCTTTAGATGAGTTTGAAGAAAAAAAAGTAATAATAATAATAAAAAAAAATCAGTCTTCTGGACAGTGACCAAGACTGGCAGCATAATTGACAGCAGGAACATTATTAGAATTATAGATCACTTGATTCCAAGTGGCATTGGAGCCATAGTCTATCTGCTGCTCAGTATGACTCACAAATTCCCAAGCGAGCTGAGCCATTTCCAGAGTATCATTTCCCATCTGTCTCCCAACAAGGAGCTCTTCCTCTCCCCGTTTCTCCTCTGAGGCTGTTTGTTTTTTGTGGTCTGTAGTACAAACCTTGTATTTTCAAAGTACTTTTGACTCAAGCGATTGGGTGAGATTTAGAGCTTTGACTAATGAGTTCCCTTTGCTCTTCTAGTAGAAATTTCCAGTTCTCCCTGGCTAATATGAAATGTAAATGTTCCTCAGAAGCAAGAGGCTGTTGTGTGCTGTTTCCATTGTCACTTCAGACAGTCTGGGAGCTGGTGAGTGATAAATAATGCCGGTGAAACCGAGAGAGGTTTTGGCAATTTGGGATAAGCAGAGAAGGGGATTAGAAATAAGTCTATCCCCTCTCTATAGAAATTGTTGCAAATGCCACACTTTGTTTCATAAAGTCATATAGCACAGCCCCTATAAAGCTGAAATCAAGAATTTGAGTTTAATAATGTCTCCTTCCTTGCATAAGGAATATTCAGTGACATCATTCAACAAAAATGCAGGGCTCTCCTGCGTGTGCAGCTCCAGCTCAGGCTGCGAGGGGCGGGTGAGGAAAAGCTGACAAATGTTGAGTGTTCCTTTCAAGTGGGATGACTCTGTTCTGGGTGAAGGTGAACCCAGCCGGCTGCCAGCAAGGTATTCCAAGTCCTCTTTTCCTGCCTGCCTGTTCCCTCTCTCCCCTTGCATTTGGGACGGACTGCAGAGGACTCGGTGGCACGCCAGGCTGTTGTGTGTGCCCTGTCCCTTGGGAAAAGGCAGATTGGCTCACACCCTGAGGTGTGGGCTCAGCCCCTGCTCCATGGGGCTGCAGCAGCCTCCTCTCACCTGGCTGCTCCCTGGCTGTGCAGGGACAAGCCTGGGCGTGCAGGTTATCTGGGATGGAATTGCCCGGGAATGGAGCCGCATTCCTCCCAGCCAGCAGCGTGGCAGAGGGAACCGCAGTGCAGCTTAAAAGCAAATCCCGGCTCTCACATTTAAATGCTCTAAAGTAGGTTTTTCCCTCTCCCATTTGGTACCACTTTGATCTTTTATCCATTGATCTGCTTCCTGATCACACTGTTCAGGTTGAAGTGATGCCTCAGTCTGTGTGTGTTTCATCCCTGCTATCACAGTATCTGCTCTGGAAGGATATCAGAGCTTGTCTGAGTTCTGGTGGATGCCACACAAAACCTCCCCGAACAAAAGCAGGTCTTGTGGGGTTAAGCTTTAATACTACAGGGATATAATAAATGGCTGGAGGATTGTTGTGGTGTACACAGCTTCTTTTGTCTGTCAGTGATACGTATCCTGCCTCTGGGGCTGAAATCCCTTTTTTCCAAGGGAGCCCAGAACCTCACACAATGATACTCAGGTGGGGCTCTTAGCCTGAGCAGTCGGTTTAAATCTTGTTGGTGTGGTCTGCGCAGATAGAGTTGCTCTCCTCTGGCTGTTTGATGTCTGCTGTCAATGGGCAGTGCTGTTCTCGGAGCCAGAGTGCTTCCCAGAGTAACAAAGATCAAACATTTTCAGAGAATGGAACTGATAGTTTCCATTATACAGTCTTCACAAGAAATTTTGCAGGGAAGCCAACTGAGCTTCTTTCACTTACTTTAAGAGGAAGTCTGGCCCCTGAATCTTGTTCTGAGATACCAGTTTGTATTTTTAAGGATTAATTGTGTGCTTTTCCATTGGCTGCCCAGGATTTATTGGGACATTCAGTTTGCTGTTTTTTTTGTAACAATACAGGTATTCTGAACAGAGAGGGAGGGGAAGAAGGGAACTCTGAGGACCTGTAATAAGTTGAAAAAGGTGGGGCTGAGTGAGGAAAGAACATCTTTTGTGTGAAAACAGATGTTCAGAGATCAGCTGCCTGACGTAGCTTCACTTGCAGATCAGAAAAAAAAAGAGTGAAGAACATGAATTTGATGTAACTCAAGGCAGTAAAATATTTAATGAGCCACAGAACCATAAAGCACTGCAGCTCATCTGCTTTCACTGAAATGATGCCAGTCCAAGCCAGCAGGAACATCCGTGCCCATTCACTCTTCCTCACCCTCACGGACATGTTCTTTGGTGTATAATGAGTCACAGTGATTGAACTTCCAGCACAGGAAACCTTCCAAAAAACCCCTGAAGCAAAGAGGTGAGAGAGTCTGACAAAGTAACTGCCCCTGGCTCAGCTCTGAGGAGGACATGGACTGATCTTGTCTTGTTCTAAAGCAGTTCCATCTGTCTGGGCAGCTGTGGCTCCCTGCACCAACCTCGGGTTAGACATCAGGCCACCTGTGCCAGGAGTGTCATCCTGTGACATCCCCAAACTCTTCCAGAGCCACAGGATGCCCCCTGAGCTATCTGCCATTTAAATGTGGAAACAAGGGATTGTACTGGTACTGAATTCCTCCAGGACTGATCCTGCCAAGCACTGCTGTCCCACAGATGAAGTTGCCATGCGTTTGGCTCCACACGTGGGTGTCACTTCACTGAGTGACGTGTTCCCTTTCACCAGAGGAGATTTGGACAACACATGGGATGGAGAAGGTGGGGCTTGATGGAAAGATAATGGCAGGGAGGAGGTGACTTCCCAAAGAAGCTGAATGAGGGACCAAAGACAAGAGGAGAGGAACATCTTCTAACAGGCAGGTGCTCTGCCAGGGACATCTCTGGCTCAGGTTTTTCTACAGGTGTCTCAAACCCCCTCCTCTATTTCTACTCACTCTAAATGAATAGTGAGCCTCATGGCCCTCTCTCTTTAAAATAATGTCAAACTGGCTCTGTGCTTTCACAACACAACATGTCAGGGCAACGTTTCAGAGCTCAGCTTGTAATTACAAACTGAAGGAGACTCCCAGAGATTCAAACAGTTACCAGCACTAGGTAGGATCCCAGGCTTCTGTCTGGTGTTTTGGAGGGAGCCTTCCTTGGCCTTCTTTCCCTGAGGAAGGTATCCAGTGAAAGTTTGGGAAAGCTGAGTCTCCTGTATCCAGTGGGCAGAAGAGAGGCGAGAAAAGGGAAAGAGAATGCCAGGCAACGACAGAGGATACATGTGAAGGCAGCAGGTAAGAGGAGAAAGGAGCTTTAGGGGTGAGAGGGGACTGAGGAAGCCAACATCACACAGAGCTGTCCTTTGGGAACAGAGCTGAGACATCCACGTGGTATGTGAAGGACTGGGTCAGGTGTATGTGTGTGTGTTATCCCTATGTGTGTCAGTATAAAATAATTAACCCCAGCACGAGTGGTTTGGCTTCAGGAGAAGCTGCTGCTGGAAAAGCAGAGGTTTCTGTGACTGCAGAAAATACTGGTGGGAGGCAAAGAAGAGTTGGTGCCTTCTGACTGCTGGGGTCAGTGCAGTGTAAGTCATCCAGCTGTGTTCCTGTCGTAACCATTGTACAATAAACACTGAAAGTAACTTCCACTATTCACAAACATTGTCTTCTCCAGGTTAGCAACGTGCAGGAGGCGCTGGGAGGACACATGGAATGCTGGTGACTCCTGTGCTGCTGGGAGAGGCCACCACATCCCCGCTGCCGAGGCTGAGCCGGTGGGTCTCGTGCTGCCTCCACACTGACACCAGCGATTCTGCTCCATGCATGGCACATGTGGCAGCAGGATTAAAGCAGGACACTCTCCTGAATGTGGAGTTCCAGGCAAGGCACTCACTGTCCCTTCCAGAGCAAGCCTGCAACATCCTGAAATTGTTGCTTTCTCTGGGATATTTTTATTTCTCGACTGACACTGCAGATATCTGAGTGACTGTGTTTGCCCTGGAGCAGGCTCCTTGCTGCACTGCTCTGAAAGCTGGAGATGGCTCTGACTTCTCCAAAACCTGCAGCAGGGGAGCTGACCCAGAGAGAGGAATCCATGCTCCACGATGGAAACTGCTTCCACTTCCTCTCTGCAAACAACCTCACAGGAGGTAAGTGGGAAGTTACTGTTCCCTTGTCTGAGAGTTGGATACCGAGAAGAGATTCTTTCCTTTTTCTCCAAATTGACTTTTGTTGTCTTGAGATTTCCTCCAGTTTTCTTTAAATTGGAGTAAATTGTGCCTGTATGTTCCTCAGTGCCTTTTTTCTGTGTGGTTGGTGTGGTGACTGAAGTTTGTGTGAAGTCTGTTAAAGACACCACCCCTGTCCTGCACACCAAGGATATCTTGGAATCAATCTTTCTTCTGTCCTTGCTTGTGCACTCTGTGAGGTTTCAGTCCCGTGAAGGGACCTTCATCTGCAGAATTCCTAACATTTGTAAAAAAATGTAAATTACTGTAGGATGAGACTGTCAAGGGATCGCAACTTTTTTCCTTGATTCTTTCAAGTGCTTCTGGAAAATCTTTCTTGAAGTTGATGAGACTGGGATTTACAGTGCCTCGGGTTGTGGCTCTGTGCCATGAGGTCTGAACTGAGCTGAGAGAGGCAGAGCTCAAAGAATGACTATTGTTGGCTGTTGCTCTTTTTTCAGTGTTGACAGCTCGGCAGAGGAAAATGAGCTCTTCTCTTAGGAAGCTCTGGAGATTACAGATGTGATTATGCACATCAAGTGCAGACTGGAGATGGGTAGGAGGGAGGGAATTGTGTAACTGATGTCTGTGGCAGATGAATCTGTGCTATGGCAGAGATCTGAGGGAGGAGGAGCTTTTTTTTTTTTGCATTTAAAATAAAAAAAAAAGAGATGATTTAGCTCAATATTTAAATCAAAACTTCATTTATTCAATGCAGGACTCATTTGCTTGAAATGCGTTACATTTACTGCCTACAGTCATGAAGTAGACAGCACTGAAAGTTTTGGCTGGGTTCTCACAGGAACTAACTTCATAATCTTCAATTTCCAGCAATTGTGAGATCAGTTTAGCTTTCTGCTGGCTTACAGTTGGGGCTGACAAGAATATTTTTTACTAGCTGAATATATCTATATTGTAGGTGTATTAAAAATAGCCTGTCAATGAAATATAATCCATGATTAACTGTCACTACACCAGTTCTTACCTTTCTTACACGTTTAGTAATATTAGTTTTTGTCCTGGTGGAGGAAGCTGTCATGTTTTATCATAAATCGATTTGCAAGAGGTTTGGAAAAGGCAAGTGCAGACCTTTAGAGGTGCAGTAGGTGCATTGCATCACCGGAGTGTCCTGGCACTGCAGAGCTAAGGTGATCTGTCCCAGTTATTGCTGTGTCACACAGGCTGGCTTTGAGGGAACTCCTTTTTCATTGTAGTTTGTTGACTCCTGAGCTGTGTGTTACATCTCTGTGCTCAGGATCTCTGCCAGTGTGCAGGGGGATGGCAGGGAGAGCTGCAGGGACAGAAGGTCTGCATTGTGCTCAGCAGCACTGCCAGCATTCCAGGGCCCGTGGGGCTGGACCTCAACAAAGGCTGGAGTGGGCTCAGGAATCCCTGTGCAGGCTGGGTCAGAACACCCACCCGAGCTTGGCCTCCCCCCTGTTAACTCTTTCCAGGACTGCTTTGAGTGCAGGGACAGCTCTGATTGACTCCCTTTGCACTGGAGCAAACGCTGAGTAACCTGCCCAGACTGCCCCTGGCACTGCTGAGCTGCTGCTGGGGCAGCTGAGCCTTCAGAAACAGCAATCCAGGCTCAGCCTCCCACATGTGCTGCTTCCCTTTGCTCATTTGGGTGAGTTTATCTGCAAGAAAACTTAGCAAAGGATGGAGCTGGAGAGTAAAATCACTGATTGGAGTAAATCCAGTGCAGGTAAATAAAAGCTCCTCAACTGATCATTTGGCCCCAGAGTTTCGTAGCTACCTGCAATCTACTTCTGTACCTACTCCTCTTGGATGGCTTGGAACTCTTGGCACTCTTGTGCAGCTTTGAGATGTTTTATCAGTTGAGACAGTTTTCAAAACTTCTTTTTTTTTTTGGAGTAAAAACCTCCCTTGTCTGCGTAGGTTGTACATGGATGAGGCAGAAGATTGCTATGTAAAAAGGAAATCTGAGTGGGATGCAATTAACTTTTACATAATTTGATTATATATAATGTCATTAAACGTTATTACAGCGGCATTGGGAGAGTCCAGAATCAAGGAGGGATATGGCAAATTCGGTAATCCTCCATTTTTCAAATACACTCTGACATGTCTAGACTCACTCTCCCCTTGTAATCCGATGAAAGAGTGCTGTGCACAGACATGCAAAATCCTGTTTGCTCAGATATGTGGTACCAGATTAGCCTGGAGAAGGACCTGAGCTGGCCCTCAGCTGGGGCTGGAACATCTGCCTGCCTGGGAGAGCTGCTGCCATGGCACTGGGGACCTTCAGGGGTCCTTCCAACCCAGCTGAGGAACAGACACACAGCTGCTGTTACTGAACTGGCACCAGCTGTCTGAAAGTCCCTTGAACTCACGTTAGATTTCTGTGGAACTGCCCATCAGTTAAAATAAAGTGTGACCTGATACTGTGGTTCTACCAGTTGTGCTTATCCAAGTGAGTGAGTGAAGAGCAGCACCTGGTTTGGGTTTTGTTGGTGCAGTTTGAATCCACTCTGAACAGGCTGTTTATCCCTTTGGTGTCTGAACATGCAATCCCCCTCCACTGGGTCCAGCACAGACAGTGGCTGCTGCATCACTGAGACACCAAGTCCTGAGGTTTTTGCACAGTCTCACCTTAGTTGTGTTTTCCACACCTTTTCTGCTCCCTGGATGGAGGGAAAGGCTGTAGTGGAACAGACCCTGCCAGCTGCTGTTTGTCCTCCTTTCTGCTGCAGAGGCAGAAATCACGAGTGAGGTTTACAGAATGCACGATTGTTTCCCTTGCTGGCAGTGTCAGCTTATACTAATTGATGTTAATGAGCCCCCAGACTGTTGTAATAAAGATACAAGTCTGAGGATATGATCCTGGGCTGCTCAGCAGACCCACACTCTAGTTCTGATTCTGTTACTGACTTCTTGTTTGGCTGCTTTTGTAACTTCACCCTTGTGTTGTCTCTTATTTTGATTATAAATGGGAACTGCTATTGTTGTGCAACAGTCATGTTTGTGTCTTTATTACCTATTCTGAAATACAAATAATAATAATAATAATAATAATAATAATGATAATGTTCAACCTCAGCCATTCAGAACTGAAATAACTGTGGTGAGGTCTGGACGGGGACCATTGTGGGTACTGATACCAACTGCTTGGGAACTGTCCTGCGACATAAAACCTGCAGACCCCAGAAAGGCTGAACCCTGGGGGCTTTTAATCTCAGGGGGTGGTGGTCTGGAGTAGATCTGAGGGCTGCTGGAATGGTGAATCTGAGTCCATTCTCAGTTTGGGCAAAAGGCTGTTTTCCAGTGTCCATGCTCACATTCTTTAATGCTGTCTTAGGAAGAAGTTTTGTTTGTTTGGGGGTTTTGTTTGCCTGCTTTTTTAGTAAAGTGCACTGTAATGTAGTTTTGGAGGCTCTGTGCCAAGATGCCCAGAGGTGTGCAGTGTCCCAGCTCCTGCTGGGGCACAGACATTCCCAGTGCAATCTGTTGGAAGGCAGGAGCCTGCTGATGAATTGACAGCTGCAGTGGAGCAGAGAGGTACCCACCTTGTCTGCAGTTCACACAGCATTTGACCCGGGAGAGGGATTTTGGTTTAGAATCATGAAATACTAACAGCCACCTGTCTTTATCCTAGTGGAGTTTTTCTGGGATAACTGTGTGGAAGGGTGTGAATCAGGGAATCTGTCCCTCAGGCAGAGCTGTGCTTTGGTCGTGCTCCAGCGGCAGTGGGAATGCTGCAGTTGGGCCTCACCTTTCTTTACTCTGTGCTGCTCAATCAGGAGACTGCAATAAAAAGAGGAGTGTTCCCTGGATACTCAGTTTATAAGGCAGCTCTGCTGCTTTGCTGAAAGTTAACTATGAAAACGAGATAACAGGCACTGCCTGGACCAGGCTGCAGAATTGGTGTTTTTTCTGGACTGGAAACCAGATCATCTGTTACCTTCTGTTTCTTCTTCCACCTCAGCAAAATCTTCTCCCCCAAGTGCTCTGCTCTCTCTCTCTCACAAATCTGCTGCCTCCTGTAAAGACAGTGGAAGGGTGTCGTGGGAAACGGGACAAGCGGAGCCGGTGCCGAGCTCGGGCTGTCCCTGGGCCGTGTCGCTGTTGCCATCTGCTGGGGGAGCGTGTGCTCGGCCACAGCCCCGAGCAGCCCCAAAGCGGGGTGATGCTCCTCCTGCCAGCGCTCGAGGGGTTCCTACCCCGAGTAACAACTCCCCTGTGCCCTCAAAACCGCTGCGAGGCGGAATAAAAGTTCTCCACAGGCGCATCTGGTAGCAGGGAAGTCGCATTTCTTCATGGTTTGGTTCTTTGAAACCGGTGAACTAAGGAAAAGCAACGCTCGCTCAGACGGTTGGAGTTAAGTACAGGATGTTTAGAGGTGGAAAACTGAGTTCTGGGTTGAGTGATACATATATTATGCTTTATAATGCTGCGAGGGGAAAAATATGTTCCTTTCATTCATTCCCATGGGCCGTCAGCCCGTGTGTTGTCAGAGATGGGAGGGGAGCAATTCCAGCCGTCTCTAAGAGAGTGCAGCTATACCGGCATTATCTGTGGGAAGCTCTGGAGACACTGCCATCAGCTGTGAATGAGCCCGTCAGTCAGAGCTGCTCAGGAGATGCTGTTCTGGGAGGCACCCTAAACAAAGCTCAGTCTCTCCCACTTTCTCACAAGTAAATGATTTGTATCTGCTGGTAAAATTAACCCTGACTGCAAATACAGGTGACTCTCAGCCTGTGTGTCCTGCAGCCTGGACTGTTACAGGCTGGCTTTGATTTGCCCTGGGAGCTGGGCACAGAGTGTTTTAACCCCTAAATCATCTCTGATTGATGCTGTGAAACCTGCCTGGTTCCAGTAGCGCTCAGCTCCCAAAGCATTCCAGTGCCCTTCATCTCCAGGCACTTTGCTGTTTATCTCCACATCAGAACCTTATCTCT